GTTGTTTTATTGTATAGTAAATAATAAACTAAGTATAGACACTAATAATATTATTATTATAATAAATAATAGTGTGTATATATATATATATATATATATATATATATATATATGAATACTTAAGTTCAAAATTAGTCTAATGGACACCACAAATACAATGGTTTATGTAATAATATCATTTTACATAAACAAATCTTGTATAGATAACTACTTGAGTTTATCCAATTTTTAGAGTTATTCTGTTTGTGTCAATGTTTAGTTTTAATTTATGGAACAAAACTGCAATCTCTTATTAGTAGCTTTGTCTGCCTTGACTTTTCATTGTTCTGCTCATAGCTTTTCTTCTTTCTGATGTTCATTTTGCTAGGAATTTATTAAATCGCTACAAAGTTATTCTGCTCCCTATGGTTTGAAATCCTCATTGGCAGTCCTTCCATGGAATTTTGCAACTGAAACTATTTAGTGGTGTTTTTTGGGAATTTTCAATTCCTGTTGAAGGAGGGAAGGTTAATTCTATTATCTCCAATTGGAATTTTTTTTTGTGTCTTTAGGCATTTTAGGTCATTTTCTATTCTGTTCACTCCACTTTTTTTCCATGTTTCTTTACACTTCTTTCAGATCTCAAATGAGTGCATCTTATGGATAAGGATACACTAAATCTCCAGAACAATAAGGCCATTGAGGTGGTTTAGGAAATATATTAAAAGTCCTCTTTGCCATTTCTAGTTCTAAAACCCATTGGTGACTGTAGTCTTGTTACAGATTTCTCCAGTCTCAACCAATTCTTTATTCTGCCATATTTCAAGGTGAAAGACTTAAGTAATCTATCCTGAGCTCATTCACTGGGTTTGTGGATAATAAAAGTGGGACATTTCTTATGCTTATCTTCATACTCTTGCTTCTGTAGGTTCAGGATACTTTTTATGCTTTATACAAAAATTAATATAACAGTTCTGAGCTTTTTCTTACGGCCATGTCTTATGTTTTTACCTAGGTTGTCTGTTTGTTTGCTGCCTTATTTCCTTGCTCTTTTGTAGCATTTCATTATTACTTGAATGATTGACTTATTTTAGCAAATGTTGAGGAAGGCTTGTTTCAGCTGATACTTGATCTTGCTTCTGAATAAGCCTCATTGATCAAGTTTTCTATATTTAAGAGTTGCTGGACTTAGTTTCTTTGGAATTCTTATCATTACTTCTCCACATTGAATTTAGCTGCCATACAACCATTTTTTTTTAATGTGAAATTACATAATTGTTCTTTCTTTATATTTTGTCGTTTGTCTGCCTATTATGTTCTATAATTTTTAAGGAATCTAAGTTGCTTTCTTGTTCCCTTCAAGCAAACTTCACTGTTGTGGTTTCTGGTGATCAATGGAAATTATTCAGTGATGCTTTAGTTAAAAAAAAAGTGAGTTTCCCTTCTGTATTCTTGGGCTCTCAGTGACTTGATGTTACTCACTTATGTTCACAGGTGGTTTTTCGTTTGAGAGAGGTGTAGTTCTGGAGTAAGACAATGTCTTTGGCTCATATAAACTGACTGCAACTGTTGACAGATCTATAATCATGTTATACTCTTTGCAATGTAGTGGAGTTGATTGTGTTACATATTACAATTTATACCAGATGAGCCTCTAATTTATTACAAAATGTATTACAATTTTGAATAGCTTGAAACTCAGTTAAATGATAATTTAGATTTAGAAATTAAATATATGTCTGTGTATCCAATTTATGATACTTGCCAACAAGATTGATACACACAGTTTTTTTTATACAAATATATTTTAATATACAAACAATAACACAATGTACAATAATGGTTATTACAAATAATGATCTATATACAAAAGTTTTACAAACTTACAAACAATATTGAGTCCTCTATCTGGTTGGGAATTTCCTTTATCTTATCAAGCATTCATGATGAGTGAATTAATTTTGAGTTGATGTAGATACAATTCACGTAACAGAGAGCTAGCTAGCTCTGTGTTCTTCGTTTGTCGCCGCTCACATGGCAGTTGTCCACTGCTGAAGTTATATAATGTTTTTATAAAAATACCCATGTCCAAATTGAATCTGCTGAAGTTAAATGATTTGTAATATTCGAAATCTATAAACGTTCCTGGTCAAATACTTGAAGTTCGTGATTAATAAGAATCATAACAATCACAGTTATAGCTTCTGAAGTTTATAGCACACCAACTTTAGCAAAATGATAATATATCCTGTCTTTTGGCACATCATGTTGGTTATATTTCTAAGCATGAGGAAAGTTTCTTGAAATTTCAGCTTACACAACAATATAACTATAGACGATACACCAGTGTTTATCTACAAACATATATTGTTGGTTCTTACACTCGATAATTTTCTACAATTTTATTGAATAGGTGGGAATTTTGGAATACAGATTTAACAGTATAAGTTATGTACATTTCTAAATATAAATTTAATTTAAACAAAGATTGATATTAAAATAAATATATGATAGTAAATCTGTCACAATTATTCACTTAGACAATCCAACCATTGTTTTGAATATTAATCACCATGAAGGCAGTAGTGCTTGTGTTCTAAATATTTTATCTGTAGAACCAGTCCTTTTGCATTATTTTTTGGGAATGTCATGTTTCCAGGGTCATAGTTTTGCTAATCAGCTCTGTCATTCTTAGCAGGTTCATAGTCTCTTCATCTGGACATCATTTATTAGTTTTCTCATTGTTAAATTACCTTGTGATTAACAGTTCTTCTACAGTTTGCAAGCACAAGTTCTTTCTCTTTTGGTCTTGTGCTCAACATCCATCAGCTTTGGGGATAGATTTTGTAATTAGAATTAATCTAACCTCTTTCTGTAAAGCAGTCATAGGAAGTTATGGATAAGAATCACTCAACTTCTTGCCAGATCCTGCTCATTTCATATGACCTGTTTAATGTTAGTTCGCCCTTCTTCTGTGCCTCTTGAAGCAAGAACCATTTCCTCTTCCTTCTTGGTGTTTTCTATTACTTTAACCAAACACCAATGTTTTGTCTTAGCATAGTGGCAAAACAAAAGTCCCATGTTATCTTCTACTTCTCAAATAGTAGACTTCTTGTTTTTCGTATAGAGTCTTTCTATATTTATTGTTCAGGACTCTCATATGACCTTTGTGTGTAATTTCACCACCTTCATAGTTTGATGTCTGATAAATGCATTATTTGCCTTTCATACTTAATGGATCAAGACTATCATCTACAAGGTGTATGGAAATTTTTAATGAAATTCATCTGGTTTTCTTCTCATTTTGCATCAGTGTCTTAGTTTGGATGTTACCTATTATACTACTTAGCCAGTTGCAGTCACTAGAATTGTTATTCTACTAAGATTTTTGACCCTTTTGTCATTTCTAATTGGATCGTGTGCCTACTTTCCAAGTTTATAACAGTCATGTTTGGGGGTTTAAGATAAAACACACCATTAATGCACCCTGGATCCTGTTTTCAATAAGTGCAACTGTCAACAGAACAAAATAGTCACAAAGTCATGTTAAATTACCCTTTGTCATGTTACTGATATTAATTTCCTAATAAAGCAAGCTACTTATTTAGAATGAAACTAAAATTTAACATGGCAGTGAGTATAGATAATTAAATAATTTTTTTTTTTAAAGTTCTTCTTTAAAAGA